TTTTCAGCAAGCGGGTCTGGCCTAGGGAGAATTTTAAATAGGGACAATTTTAATTAGAATTTTAATGGTAACACAGCGGTTAAATATTTGTTTTTAATTGGTTTTTATTGGGGATAGTGTTTGTATTGTTTTAATATGCTGTAAGCCGCCCTGAGTCCTGTTGGGAGAAGGGCGGCATATAAGTTTAAATATAAATAAAATAAATAAATAAACACGAAAAACATTTCAAAGCTGACTCTCCTCTCCCTCAAAGGGAAAGAAACTGCGGCAGAGAGGAGACAGATTTTGCAAGGTAAGTGAGTCTGGCGCGGCAAGAAGGAGGGGGAAGCAGTTGTGAGGAGTGGGGGGGAATAGGGTGAATGTTGCAGAGCCTCTGCGGTCGCTCATAAAGGCAAATGACTGCCGTGGTGTAGCAATATTCGTAATTTTGGGATTTGCTCATAAACACTAGGGGGAGCTGGTCGCATAACTTCAAACGAATGTTAAGTGAATGCTTGTAACTCAGGGATTATCTGTAATTGTTCTCCTCCTGGAACTCTTGGCCAACAAAAATAATTATGCAGCTCCTACCTCAAATGCGATTTCTTAACCATTATTTTGGGCATGACTTCTGTCAACACTGTGACAATGGATGTCGTCGCTCTGACAACTGAGAATCAGCAGCCATTTTTACTTTTGCTTCTAGCGTGCCTTTCCTATTCTTTTAGAGTTCAGATGTAGAAGGGGGGATGGGGTAAATGTTTGAGGGTTTAGCTAGCCATAACAATGTAGAAGTGTGGGAATTCAAGGACATGGTCTGATAAAATCTTGGCGAAGAAAATCCCGTGTCTTGTATTAATTGGGGAATGTGATTTATGACAGCATTTGTGGGATGGGAATTGCAACTTGTTACTTTGTATCTGGGAGGAGGGAATTTCAGTTTTGGGTTCAACTATGTAAGTGCCGATACTTTGTTTCCTAATAAAATGTTCTTAATAATAATAATAATAATAGTAGTAGTAGTAGTAGTAGTAGTAGTAGTAGTAGTAAAGTTGGAAGGGACCTTGGAGGTCATCTAGTCCAAACCCCCTGCTCAGGCAGGAAACCCTATACCATTTCGGACAAATGGCTGTCCAGTCTCTTCTTTAAAACCTCCAGTGTTGGAGCATTCACCGCTTCTGGAGGCAGGTTGTTCCACTGGTTAATTGTTCTAACTGTCAGGAAGTTTCTCCTTAGTTCTAGGTTGCCTCTCTCTTTGGTTAGTTTCCACCCGTTGCTTCTTGTCCTGCCTTCAGGCGTCTTGGAAAATAGCTTGACAACCTCTTCTTTGTGGCAGCCCTGAGATATTGGAACACTGCTATCATGTCCCCCCTCGTCCTTCTCTTCATTAAACTAGACATACCCAATTCCAGCAACCGTTCCTTATATGCTTTAGCCTCCAATCCCCTAATCATCTTTGTTGCTCTTCTCTGTACTCTTTCTAGAGTCTCAACATCTTTTTTACATCGTGGTGACCAAAACTGGATGCAATATTCCAAGTGTGGCCTTACCAAGGCATTGTAAAGAGGTATTAACACTTCACATGATCTTGATTCTATCCCTCTGTTAATGCAGCCTAGCACTGTGTTGGCCTTTTTGGAGCTGCAGCACACTGCTGGCTCATATTTAGGTGATTGTCCACTAGGACTCCGAGGTCCCTCTCACGGTTACTACTATTGAGCAAGGTACCCCCTATACTATACCTGTGCATTTGGTTTTTCTTGCCTAAATGTAGAACCTTGCTTTTTTCACCATTGAATTTCATTTTGTTAGATAGCGCCCAGTGTTCAAGTCTATCCAGATCCTTCTGTATCTTAAGCCTGTCTTCTGGAGTGTTGGCTATTCCTGCCAGCTTGGTGTTGTCTGCAAATTTGATGAGTTCCCCATCTATCCCCTCGTCCAAATCGTTGATATAGATGTTGAAGAGCACTGGGACCAGAACAGAGCCCTGGGGCACCCCACTACACACTTCCCTCATGTAGATGCGGTTCCATTGAGGACCACACGCTGAGTACGGCCGGTCATCCAGCTACGGATCCATCTGGTGGTGGTGCTTTCTACCCCACATTTTTCTATCTTGTCAAGTAGTAGGTTGTGATCTACTTTATCAAATGCCTTACTGAAGTCCAAGTAAATTATGTCCACAGCATTCCTCTGATCCACTAATTTTGTTACTTGGTCAAAGAATGCAACAAGATTTGTCTGGCATGATCTATTTTTGACAAACCCATGTTGGCTTTTAGTAATGACTTTGTTTGCCTCTAGGTGTTCGTTTATTCGTTGTTTGATTATCTTTTCCAGGATCTTCGAAGGTATTGAGGTCAGGCTGATAGATCTGTAATTTCCTGGGTCCATTTTTTCCCTTTTTTGTAGATGGGAACTACATCAGCTCTTTTCCAGTCCTCTGGTAGTTCCCCTGTGCTCCAGGATCTTTGAAAAATATAGTTCAGTGGTTCTGAGATCACATCTGCCAGTTCCTTGAGAACCTTGGGGTGTAATCCATCTGGTCCTGGAGATTTGAACTCGTCTAGGCTGGACAGGTGCTCACTTACCATTTTCTTGCCTATCTTAACTTGTGTTTCTATTCTGTTTTTTGTGGCACTATTTTTGATAGGTTGGTCTGTTTTTTTCCCTTTGTGTAAAGACAGATGCAAAAAACGAGTTAAATAGTTCTGCTTTCTCCCTGTTGCTTGTCACCTTCTTGCCACTTTCACCCACTAATGGACCAATCATTTCTTTCACTTTTTTCTTGTTTTTTACATGTTGAAAGAAGCTTTTTTGTTATTTTTGACTTTGGTCGCAAGCCTTAGTTCATTTTGAGCTTTGGCTTTCCTCACTTCATCTTTGGAGGCTCGGGCTATTTGCTGATATTCTGACTTAGTTATGTGCCCCTCTTTCCACTTTTTATACTTGTCCTTTTTATCTTTCAATTTGTCAGAGAGTTCTTTATGCAGCCATGCTGGTTTCTTTTGAGAGCTGTTATTTTTCCTCTTTGTTGGTATTGTGCTAGACTGGGCTTTTATTATCTCATTTTTCAAAATTTCCCAAGCTTCTTGAGTTGTTTTCCCCTTGAGGATTCTCATCCATGGAATACTTCCCAAGCCCTCTCTAAGTTTATTGAAATTAGCTCTCTTGAAGTCCAAGACTCTAGCTTGACTGTGTTTTATTGCCTGTGCTTCCATAATGTTGAATTCCAATATTGCATGATCACTTCCTCCCAGGATTCCTATGGCTTCAACATCTTCTATCATTTCATCTCTGTTAGTGAAAATTAGATCCAAAATGGCTAATCCCCTAGTTCCCTTCTCTACTTTTTGGGAGACAAAGTTGTCTGCTAGGTTTGCCAGGAACCTGTTTGATCTTCCACTTGGTGCAGAGTTTGTCTCCCAGTTGATGTCAGGGTAGTTAAAGTCCCCCATTACTATTGTGATGTGCTTCCTACATACTTTAGTTAGCTGACTAGCAAAAAGTTCATCTATTTCCTCTGGTTGGTTGGGTGGCCTGTAGTATACACCTATGGCAATGTCATTTTTCCCCCTTTTATATTGACCCAAATGCATTCAAGACAGTTTTTATCATTGTTGTGCTCTATTTCTGTAGAGATGTATTTCTTATATAGAAAGCAACTCCATCTCCTCTTTTATTTGGTCTGTTTCTTTTAAATAATTTAAATCCCTCTAGCTGTGTGTTCCATGTGTGGGTTTCATCCCACCATGTTTCCGTAATGGCAACAATATCATATCTGCCCTCATTAACCTGAATTTCTAGTTCACCCTCTTTGCTATTCATGCTCTATGCATTGGTGTATAGACATTTGAGTCCTTTATGACTGGCCCTGTGTTTACTTTTTACATAACCTGTGTGGTGCCTGAGTTCCCCTATTGTCTTACCACCTATTTGGTTAGTGCTCTTTGTGTGGCACTCGCTATTAGAGGCTTGATTTTGCTTGACAGCAAGGTTGGTATTCTTACATGCACTGACTATATTTTTTAGATTGCTCCGGACAGGGTTGTTCTGTATCAATTAACTCACTGTCCCCGCTGTTTAGTTTAAATGTTCCTCCAGAAAATCTGTGAATTTATAGCCAAGTAACTCAGTCCCTTTCTTTGATGGATGCAAACCATCTTTTTTGTACATCTTTTCATTGGACCAGCTACAGACATTGTGACTAATATATCCAAAGCCTTCCCTTTTACACCACTCCTTTAGCCACATATTGAATTGTGCTATGCGCTGGCCTTTTCCATTTTGCTCCTTTAAGGAAGAATTCTTGCCTTGAAGTTCTTTTACCGGTTTCATGTATCGGAACCATGACAACTTCGTTTTAAAAGGGATTTAAAGGCCACAGAAATACAACAAATTTAAAGAAACAAATAAGGAAGAAACACAACATTAAAGTAAAATTTATATTACTATTTTTTGCAGAACTGTCTTATTGGTTTTAAGGGAGTAATTTCATTATGTACTGTAACATAAACATATGACTCATAGTCTAAGAAAAGGTAAATGCAACCAAGGAAACAAAACTAATCTAAACTGTTAATACACAATTTGTCCAAATGCTGTTGTAAAAACAAGTATCAGTCCATGTAAGCAAAATGAAATGGAATTAAGGTTCCAGTAGGGAATACACTGCATCTTACAATAGCCCAAAATACAATCTCAAAAACAGAAATGTAATTGGATTTTGTAATGTAATCGATCTTTTTTAAATTTAAAAGTAAACAAGAACAGGGCACATTTTAAATAGCCACCTATGTATTTTCAGGAATTGTGTGTGTCTGAAAACCAAATTATGAATTCCTACCAGCAGAGTTTTACAATAATTGTTTTTCTAACTATCATATTATAAAGGATACTTCTCGTTATTGGATTTTGACTTGTACAGGAGCTAAACTCTTGAGATTTACTCATGGTGTCTTTTTCAGGTAACACAGCAAACTGCTTGCCAGTGGCTGTCTATAATTACCTATATAATTTTATTAACAGTTTGAAAAACAAAGGTTAAATTAATGTAGACTAAGGAAGAAAAAAAGAAAAAGAAAGAAATCAGAGCTAAAAGTGCAAGAAAGAAAAAAAAATGAAAAATAGAAGAGAAAGAAAAAAGGTACGAAAAAGTGGCTTCTGATCTTCTTTATAGCAGTTATAAGTACAATTATAAACGTACCTATGCTCCCCCCCAGCCCAAATTGGAGCAAGCAGAGAGGAAAGGAGGGAAAGCAAGACACCAGGAGAATGGAGGGAAATGGACAGGTGCTTGCCCTGGTCCCATCCCCTTCTGCCAGAGACCCTCAGATCTGTCCCACTCCTGCCCAGGCCCCCACGGGCACCCTTGACGCGAACGATGTAGAGCTGGCCATGCTCACCCAGTAGGCCACACCCACTCCAGCCATGCCAATCCAGTAGGCCATGCCCACCCTGGCCAGACCTACACGCCCCCCCGAGGAAAACCGCAAGGCTGATGCAGCCCTCAATGAAATTGAGTTTGACACCCCTGCCCTATATTTTCACACAACTTAATTTATAAACATTTTAGCTTCACAGATTTTAAATTAAACACTTACTTAAGTGAATTATTTGCATATATTATTCACTATGGCATTTACAATTGTACCCTGTATATTTTTAGCATTGATATACCAGTGCATATTTACCTGCGGCTCATGTTCTTTCCCTGGCATTGGTCCAAAATGGTTTAAAATTTGTGCTTTCATATTGTCTTTAAGAGAAGTAAACCAGGATACAGCTTGATCGTAAACGGAATCATGAATGCGGACCAGCTCTTCGTACTCTGCCCCTTCAACCTGATTTGAGTTATGAAAATGATTTTTAAATAAATGCATGTTATGTACAGCATAACAAAATCAAATACCATTTTAAAAAGAATTACTTTTAAATATACTAAACAGGGGACTTTTTAAAATCACCTCTCTTTTGAATAAGCCCAAAATTCTAAGAAAGCAGCATGGATAACTTCAGGTGTTCAGTATTCAGAAAGATAATAGTGAAAATAGCTGATTACTGGGACTGTTTGCCAATTTATCACTTAGTAGATTGTTTTCCAACATTCACAATCAATGATGAAGACTGATGTGGAAAAGTACAGAACATAGGAACTAACATTTTTCAGTACAGATATAAAAATTGTTTGCAGATTTTTTAAATATATATGAATTATTTGAATTACATTTGAGAAATGACAGTAAAATGCTAACTCTGGATCACACTATTGGTCATCTAAAATGCCAGTCCATTTAATTTTAACTTTCATGAGTAAGGGAGAGCCTATTCTTTGTGTATTTCTCTTAAGAGCTGCTTTACATTACACTCTTAGAGAAACCAATCATATAAATTAATAGGATTAAAAGCCACTGACCAAAGCATGCTTAAGGAACATGTGATCTGATAGAGCTTGCTAATACTTTTGCATCTGTTTAAAGAAGAGAGCTGGTGCTACACATTCAAAGATCTGATATAATTTGCAAGCAGATTAGAAAATGGCATTCCTAACATGTTTTGCTTAAAAATCTCCTGTCTGTGTAAAATATATATATAAACAGAAAGAAATTTGGATGGAATATCTGTTTTTCATATTCCTATTTCCTTTAGACCACGCTTCTGTAATGCCATTTCCTTATTTAAAACACTACCCTGGAACAGGGGCAACTGAACAACTGCACAGTAATGCTGTAAAATCTCTTTAGGAATATATTTTTAACATGTTAGGATTTAGTATTGAATTGAGTATTTAAAACTTCTGAATATGGCATTTTGATTTTTAAAAGATGGTTTATTAAAGGAATTTGGTGCTGATCACTTTAATAAGGGAATGGAAACAAAAGGGGAAAAATAATTTCAGCTTTGGGTTAAAAAATTAATTATGCAACAGCTAAAGAAGAAAACCACAAAAGCCAGCAAAAAGTTAGATTACTGTATGGGCTGTCCTGTAATTTAGAAGACAAGGGACAGCTCACAAAACTTATTTTCAATAGTTGAGGTAACAAAAAACTACTACACTAAAACATTACCTTTTCATCTTCCAAATATTCAATATTTGCAGTATTATATCCATCTCGCTGACCATGGCATAAGACCCTAAAACGCCGAACACCAACTGTATCAACAACTGAGCGTCCATCAGGGAAAAACTTCACATCCCTGATTTCCAACATGCAGCCATAATCTGCAAACCTGAAGGGACAAGGCCATATTAAGGCTGTGATTCTAAATATATTTTAGCCTTATAGATTCTCCGTAGCCCGCCTAAGTACATTTGGAATGAAGTTGTAAAAGGAATTATTAGGCCTAATAATAATAAGAGATACAAAGATTGTAGAAATATTGCTTGTTCCAGTTCTGTAAAAAGCTATGAAATTACTGCTTGAGTTCTTTTGATGCTGCATCTAGATTACCTGTCTCAATCAAATATCCCTCAAATGAGCTGGATTTCAATTCCCATTTTTCCCTAAACACTATGCACTTCTCCCAAATAGAAAATTTACACTGACATTCTTATCGATCAGCTAAGTACTAGATCTTGGTATATGCCCAAACACTGCTAGATCTTGCTATATGCCCCAACACTGGACAAGAAATAACAGCCCCCATTTTCTGATGAGACCACTTTCCCATATCTGTTGGGCATAAGCCCTTATACCATTTTTGCACCCAGAAATGCATGGGTGTATTTTATAAAGGAGTTCCAAATCCTTAGCTTACCCTTTCAGTTCATCAGTTAAACACATGCCAAATTGTTTAGTGCCTGTTTCCATGCATCTTCTTATCATTAATCGATAACGGGGCTCAAAGACATGAAGAGGACAAGGAATGGTAGGGAAAGCCATAGTGCATACAAAAATGGGAACATCTTTATTCAGACTGCAAGAGAAGAAAGATTTACTTTTATGCTAAAGCAGTTCAATATCTATTAAAACAAATAATTGAAATCCATTTTAAAACTACTTATGTAATAAGTTTTGTTGTATTTGTGTTTTCACTCAGCTTCCCTGGATCTCTCTTCTGTTACTGACAAATACAAGAGAAGACTATCTAAACATAGCAAAGACCATGCTCAGCTGAAATATTCTAAGTTTACTGTACATGCTTAAGGCAACATTTTATGGGTAGTGGGCAAATTGGAAATTTGGAACATGCTATAGTTCTCATAAAATTGGTATTATTGGTTGTGGGAAAATTGATGTTTCATTCTGTAGTATGCCTGCTTGTTACATAATTATTATTTCAATCAACTACACAACTAAAATCAGGTGTAGCAAGAAATACATCTGATGTATATTATTGCATACATAGACAATATGGGATTTAGAATAAAATTAACAACAGTTTGATCCCATAAGAATCCCACTCTATCAACTTTATTTTTTTACAAAGAATTTTTATCCTCCATATTTATCCTCCAAACAATAACTTTATCTGTTACAGAAAACTACTATGTGGTTCTCCAGTTTTTGCAACAAATATCAGAATATATTTATGGCACTTCTGTAAAAGTTTCGTTCACAGGCTTTGTGCTTCAACTAAATTAGTGTTCCAATTCATATGGAGGGCATTCCTGACCCACACATGTATATTGATTGTATAAAGGGGTTAAGGACTGCTTCCAATGGTCTTTCCAGCTACCAACCTTTTCATAAAGGCTGAGCAAACTTTGTACAAAACAAGAACTGGGTTTCCAAATGATTTTTAGGTGCAGGTTCTCTAATCAAACTTTCTATGAAAAACCAAGACAAAGGAAGAACTGGCACATTAGTGTCAAAATGTCTTCTTTCACATATATAATACCAACATCCTAAAATAAAATATTTTTTGTCTGAAGATCAGAGAACTATAAATATGAAAATATACACAAGTTATTTAAATAAACCCACTTAATTTTATTAATATTCTCTTTGTAAATGAAGATTGCTTACTTTGATAATTCCTTCATTTCTTCTTCATAAACCTTTTTCCTTTCAGATAATTCTTCTGGAAAGTAGCGAACTATTAATTCTTCAGTAAGGATGGTCTTTTTGTAAGTTCGATTTGCCAAAAACTATAAAGGGAGTTCAAGAATCCAAATTATTCAGTTCTAGCTATTCTACTGATCAGTAATTAGAATGGCCTGGGAAATAGAATCTAATGGTAAAGTAAATGTTTTTATATTTTAACACTCTAGGATGGAATCAGGAATTTGCACAGAATATTACAGTCAAGCGCTTAAAACCATAACTACTAAATCACTACTGTATTTAGTGATTTATTGGTTATGGTTTTAAGTGGCTATTATAAGCACTTGAAGTGGTCATTTAATTATTCTACAATTGCTTCTTCAGAAAATAACTCTGAAATACATAGCAGTGTTTCCCATCCTTCACCACTTGAAGATATGTAGACTTCAACTCCTGGAATTCTCCAGCCAGGTAGGGAATTCTGGGAATTGAAGTTTACACAACAAGTGCCCAACGTTGAGAAACACTGTTATATATTAAGGTGATGCAAAAGAAATCTACCTTTTTTCTTCTTGTTTGGCACTTAAGTCAAACACCACACATATTTAAATACTACCTATCTGTACTATGGTGAGTCACATTTGTTTCTCCCCACTTCCAGTTTCAAGACACTAGAATCAGCCGGGTTGTAATTTTCACGTGGAACTTTCAAGCATTAAATGGGCTTATTCAGTGGTGGGATTCAAATAAGTGAACAACCAGTTCTCTGTGTGGATGCCGCTTTCGGAAGTCCATTCTGGGCCTGGGCAACAAAAAATTAGCTACTGGTTCTACTGAACTGGTGCGAACTGGCTGAATCCCACCACTGGGCTTATTGAACTTTTGTATTGCACCCTTAAAAAAAAACACTCTGAAGCCTGCTCCAAAAATCAGATCAATTCTCCCCCTTTTTGGAGGTGGTTTAAGGGGATAAATGGGCCTTTAAAGGTTCAAGAAACACAACCCCTTTCATTTAAGCAACTTCTGGAAATGGGATGGGGAAGACTTACATCTGAGAGCTTTTCTTTACAAAGCGGACAGTGGGGATTATGATCCAGACAACGTTCAAGGCATTTGAGGCAGAACGTATGTCCACAAGGAGTAGTGACAGGCTCATAGAATAACCTGAACAAGACATGAAAATAACAATTTTATATATCCATTCATCTGTACATCGAGAAAGTTTTCCTATGTGATCCATGTAACTATGAGTGTGCAAAATATTTTACATTGAAACTGTCTTGAATTCAAATGCACTGTTTTTTATTATTATTTCAGAAATAATAATAGTCTTTCTAGCAGTATGGGGTATTATCATGCACCCACCACCCAATTAGCCCATTCTTATTGAGGAAATGCTTATTTCTCAAGTTAGGATACATTCATTTTCAAAAACTGTTTCTGAGCTCAATAATGTAAGACAAATGATGAATTCTTACTATAAAATTAAAGTTAATGAGCTAAAATTATATTAGTGTATTATTTCTTATTTAATAAATTAACATAGTGTGTATCTCTTCAGAAGATATACAGCAGCTTTCCATACAACTTAACAGAATTATAAAATGTCCATCAAGCACAAAATAACAGAATGGACATTTGCTTTTTCTGGAATGGAATTGTTTGGTTGTTTTCCATCTAAGTATTAACCTAGGCAAACAGTCCCTATAAGAAAATTACAATATCAAAATTATACGACTGTAATGTGTCATCACATGGATACTGTGACTTACATACTTCTGTCATGATATCTGACATAACATAAATCACGGCATTTGTGTGATGATAAATCCAGCTTCAGTCTACTTATGCTTCAAGTCCAGAGAAGGTAAGATACATGGAACTGCTGCTGAAATTTAAATCCTATAGAATAATACATTTTATGCAGCTTGTTAATACCTCATACAAAGGGAACACTCAAAGTCAGATGCATCCATAAGATTTGTAGGAATCTCTTTTATGGGAAGAGAAGCTGAGTTTCCACAAGTAGCATCTCCATCTTAAATAAAAAAAGAACATTTGAAATAAATATGACTCATTTTCTGAATGACCTCATTAGATAATTCAAAGTATCAAAAAAGGAGGAGGAGGATGCATCAGGTCTTTCAAAACTAAAAATTTCCAGTGAGTTCTAAAATTATCAGACAGGAACACAGGACTAATACTGTGCATTACTGAAGAATTAAAATGAGTGCAAATAATCAATTCTAGAGAAATAAATGATTTAGATTAACTTCTGTTCAGAAAAATTAAAGAAAGATTTGAGACACGCAACTAGAAAGTTTAATGTCTATGCAGTTATGGATACCAATCTACAAAATGTTTTGTTACAAAATAACTTAGTCTATGGTGTGACAAAATGCCATAACTATTCCCGCCTATTTGGAATCTGCTATTTAAAGCAAAAGACAACCCAGACCATAGCTTGTATATTTTGTTCAGTTTGATCAATATTAAAATTTATTATTTATATTGAAATTATTAAAATTAATAATTTCAGTTTTTTATATTCTAGTCTATCCTAATCATTATAACTTGTTTTATTCTTTACAACTACAAGAATAAAGAATGTCACATTATACTCCTTTTCATTTTATGTAAATTGAAAATTATTATGTTTTTTCTTACACAAAATACTGAGCAATTTAACTTACTCAGTTTAAAATAGGAATTGCTAGATTGACTTTGGCAAAATATTCCATAACTAGCCAAAATTGTAGGTTTTTCGCTCTAAAATAAATACAGCAGCAGTAACAAAAAACCAAAATGGACAGCATGTAAAAGGCTGCAACAGACCTTTTCTGGGGATTTTGCTCGGGACATCCAGATTCTGTAAGTCTCCCACATCAGTAGAAAATTTTCTTTTCAAGTTTGCACTGGGTAGGCTGGAGAGGACTTTTCCTAAAGTTTTCTTGTTCTCTTCAAAGTAGAATTCATGATGGGAAATTGAAGAATCAATACAGCGATAGACATCATTCTCTTGGGAAGGATTTCTTGTTAACCTCAACATGGTCTCCTAAAATAAATACATTTGTTTATAAATAAATACATAAAGACAAAATGTGTCTTTTGTAGACATACCTTTGTTGATCATAGCGATGATTCAGAACTAACAGTTTGGTAACTTATTATATGACTTCTGCTGGGACTATTTCTATCAATTCTATTATTTATATATAATATAAATAATAATAAAAAATATGGACTGGACTATATGGATATTTCAGAAACTAAGTGAATCAGCTGCTCAGGTAAAGCTTTCTCTGCATACAGTAGTGGCCAAAATTGTGGAAACCTTTTGGGAAAAGTGTATTTTTGAAGTTTAATGGCTAATAACATCACTTTTTTTGGAGTAGTACCATAAAATTATATATTTAATCAAGAATGTAATGCAACAAAGTTTGTTCAATTATCTGCACTGTATTCTATGAAAAGTTATAGCCAAATAACCAGATAAAGGAAGCACAACTTGCTTAGGTTGATATCAGGTAGCTTTCCTTCATCTGATTGTAGCCAATGAGCATGAGTGTTTAGAGAGCCAATCAGGTGTCATCTTGTTTTGGCAATGAGCCAATCAGATCACAATAGGATTCAGTTATTGATGTCATGTATTGAAGCTAAGAGGAGGACATTTGTCAGTGTGTTATGTTATCACTATCAAGTTGGTTGGGTTTTTTTTCCTTTCATTTAGTGAGCTTGTAAAACATAATAAAATTAAAGTAATGGTGCAAAGAGTTGACTGGTTGCCCAGAAAGCGATGTAAAATAGTATTATTAAGTGAACAAGGCTACAGTTATAAAGAAATTAGAAGAAAAATTGGTGGAAACTTAACCAAAGGTGGCATTTCTACTGTACACTTTCCCCAAAAGGTTTCCACAATTTTGGCCACTACTGTACTTTGCCTGAATACAAAAGGATGGATTGTATTTTAATACAGGTTTTCTAGAATTATGGATTCAACAGCAAACATAGTTACCAAGTATATATTTAAATTAGGAACCCACAAATGGATAGTATATGATGATGGAGTGCTCACTTCAAAACCCACCAAAACCTTAAATTTTGCCACACATCCATGAGATTTCAGAAATGTATAATATAGGGAGAAGGCAGAGTAACTTCCCATGGTTGCAACTGGAACCTAGTGCCCACAGTTAATATCTGCTGTTAAAAAGAACTCTCCAAATATGCAAATGTTAACTTATATTGAATCATAATTTTTTTTATGAAATACATCCATTTTGGTGATTTTTATAATATATTCATTTTAGTAATCTTAGTAACCAATCACTACTTTTAGTTTCCATTCCATTCTATTCCATTATTAATCAGTTTTCTTTGGGAAACTATGTCCTTCCCAAACTAAACTAAAACTAAAATTAAACTAGATAATGGTACACTTCTGAATATAATACTGAATATAATAAAATGCTATATATAATGCCCTGAAATAAAGAGCAGACTCATGTGTTAAGTACCTTTGAGCTCTCTGCTGTTGACCCATCTTCACTAGAAGACTGTGTATTTATGCTACTTAGAAATGCAGGTTTCAATCTTGTATAAGAGGTCCGATTACAAAAAGGTGTTGTTAAACTATCAGGAATATTTTCAAATGCTGGAAAAAACATCTCACACATTATCTAGATTAAAAAAAATAGAAATATCATAAAATTCAGCTCATACAAAAAGGATTTCAAAAAGGATACTTATACAAACAATGATGGAATATATATCTTACCATATAAGATCAATTTTTTTGGCAACCTACAAATTTTACTTTATCTGTTTCCTATTTCATTTCCCTCCTCCAGAATTCTACATTCATATGTAATCATGTGCCAAACTGTTATCCGCTCCACTATCCCATTAAGGAAAATGAAAACAAGACCGCTAAATGTAGGGTTGTTTCAAATGTCATGATATTTCCTAGTTGGAAGTTTATTCATGGTTGAATGGTGCTTGAAGGCTGACAGATGCAGATTAATAATTATGAATATCTTTTTTTATAATATTTTATTAGTTTTCTAATTTTACAATTAAGTATTTAAAAAGCAACGTGGTGGCTGGGTTAATCAATAGTTTGATAACATGCGTAAATCTTTAGTACAAATCTCAAGTTACAACATCAGATATTTTCTTTCTTTTTCCCTTAATATCTACTATCTCCTATTAGGCTAATACAGTTCTTAATATTATCAACTAAGTAAAAACATCATTATTACATTTATCAATAAATTTTAGCTTATACATATCTTAATTGTGTTTACGTTCAATCCTTATATACAATCAATGTCCTGTTATTGCTTTTTTCCCAAGCTTTAATTTCCCATCAATAGTCAAATTAACATTTGATATTTATAATTTCCAAGCTTTAGGAACCAAAGTTTCCCTTATCTCAATGTCTTCTTTTTTCCCTTTTCATAACAAAATCTAATATTCTAAATACACATCTTATCTATTTGAGTATAGTCTTGTTCTGTTTTCTAAAAGTTATCTATTTTCCACCATATTAAACCATCTAATTTAATAAATCAAAACCCTAATTTTCTTCAGCCTTACTCAGGCTTTTTTCCTTTGCCAATTAGCCTTCCATGCCAGTGCTTTTAAATCATCAAATAGTTCTCCCTCTATTATTATTATATATATATATATATATATATATATATATATATATATATATATATATATATATATATATATATATATATATATATATATATATTTGAAATAAGAAAGACCATTTAGTTGCAGTTTTTTGGGAAGAACTAGCCCATTTGTATTCATTAGATTGCCTCCCTAATATTACTCCAATTTTTCACAATTGTCCTGATAGGTTTATCTTCCATTCAATCTGTTCTTCTTCCTTCTCAAATTTCTTCTGATTTATATAGAAAGACAGAGGACTTAATTGACCAACAAATCCAGCCAATGGAAAATTCAGAAAAGGGAGTGACAACAGTGAAAATGGAAAATAATTATGAATATCTAATTCACTGGCTACTTTATTTCGTTATTTATTTTTTATCATCCCTTTATTATTTTTATGAATAACTCAAGGTGGTGAGCATACTTTTTCCTTCCTGAGTTAAGAAAAAGTGACTGACGCAAAGTCACCCAGCCACCAGTTAGACTAAATTATATTAATTAGAATGTTCATGTTACTGTGTTAAATATTAACATCTGTTTACCCAATAGCTTTGGTTTCCATTCAGCCAATCACTGGCTTTCAGTGACCAAAAAGCAAAATAAAAAAACTGAATAATCAAATAATTAATACTTCACTTACAACTTTTATTTTACATGGGTCTGATAGCTGTAGAGGCTAAAAACCAAGTACATAAAAACATCACACTTTAATTATGGACAAAAAGTATAATATTCTACCTTTTGGGCTTCCATCTTCATTGAATTCCACTCAGGATTTAAGGCAACACAATAAAGAAATTCCTTCAATGCTTCTTCAATCCTTCCTAATCCAGAAAGAGCTTGTGCTTTGACATAATGACTCTGCATACATAGAAAGAAGGAATGAGATAAGGAGCTCAAGCTTCATGATTCCAAGAAATATTGGCTAGAGTGTCTTTACCTCTTACAAGCATGATGGTATTTCAAAACAGAACAGAAAATGAAGATAAGAAACAAAGGTGCAAAGGGAAACAATGATGGGTGCAAATTTTAATCCCATGTGATACATTTTAGTGTGGGAAATGCATCTAAGTCAAACTATTAGGCTTTGCACACTTTAACAAATTACAGAAGGGAATAACAAGTAATGCTGCAATTACTTTCAATATCATTTTATGTCTCTTACATATTTTTAGAGACACTACGTATCCCCAAAGAATTGAGGGCAGCTAGTAAAGAGCCAGTTTTTGTAATAGTTAAGGCACCAGGCTAGAAACCCTCGCTGAAGAGATTTAAATTATATGTGAGGGGAAAAAAATCCCTTTTTTTATACGCAGAGATATTTTGTTTTTTTTCTTAACTGCCAACTTGCAAACAGATACTGTACCTTAGGCCAATGGGGTTTATTTTGACACAGTATTTCTGCATCATGAAGGGCTTTTTGATAATTCTTCATAGCTGTACAAAGTTCTGCCCGCTGTGCTATTAACCAACATTTACAAGAAGCTGGAATAGAAGAAGAAAATGTGTAAATGACAAATGATGACTTTCTGAAACAGTAATTAACTAAATATTAGTCACTCATTCTTTTGTAACAAAAATGCCTTCAAATAAGTTATATGAACAAATGTGTACGTTATGTTGCTAAAATTGTACTCAATTGAGAAAAACAGTCTGCAAAATTAAAATCCGTAGCATGTGTATGATAATATAAATAAATATAAATGTAATCAATGCAATACAATCTGGTTATGTGGTGCTTTTGGTTTAAGGCCAAAAAGACATTTTGGAGCACAGAACATGAATACATACTGACCTGCAATTTCTTAAACCAAATAACTTTTTTGCCAGGGTGCCATGGCAGCTGTAGGGAATAGCCACATAATCTGGGAAAAGATGTGGCTATTTTATAAATTGTACACAAATGCCACATTTAAATTCCTGTAGCTCCAAAGAGCTTTCTTTGCTTTCAAATCTAAAGCAGTTTCTTGCCTTGTAATATATTACATTTTTAAAAAATAACTAGTTCATTCTTCATTACTATAAACTTCCCAGCACATTCAGGCATACAGCAATTTCCAAAATTATTCATAAGAGTATTTCAAAGCTTGCAGGAAGTAGCCTTAGCTTTTTTCAGGCTTTAATGTGAAGGGGCGTTGTCTTACCTGAACGCCTTTTCTCAGCAAGACGATGGAGAATCCACAGATGGATTGATCTTGCCTTTCTACCCTAGAGACTAAGTCAATCAACCTTTGCCACGCCTCTCTTCCTCAGGCTAGAAATCCCCAGTCACGATGAAGGTGCAGCAGTTGATGACATTTCAAGGTGGTGGCTCAAATTCCCCTGACACAGGACCAGATGGACCTTAGGGGGGGAGTGGATTCTTCATCGTCATGCTGAGAAAAGGTGTTCAGGTAAGACAACGCCCCTTCTCCAGCATGATGAATGGAGAATCCACAGATGGGACATACCAAAGCCTCACTGTCCCTATGGGCAGGAACAAGACTGGGCCTGTTTCCCACTATCTGTTACTACGCTTTGGAGGAGTCTCCTGCCAAAATAAGCATCTGCCGAGGCGAACTTATGTAAGTTATAATGCCTCACAAATGGGGAAGGGGACAACTACATCGCTGCTGCCCTGCATATCTCTTCGATGGACGCCTGTGTCGCCCACGCCGCTGAAGTTGCTGCACTGCGAGTGGAGTGTGCAGTAAGCCATCTTGGAACTGGCAAGGAGTGCGTCTGGTACGTCCCTGCTATGCAAGCCCTAATAATCCATCTGCTGATAGTAGAGGCAGTCACCTTCTGACCCCCTGAAGAGGGGTGGAATGAAACGAATAAGGCAGACTTGTGAAAAGAGGCAGTTCGCTTAATATAGCGATGCCAGGCTCTGCGAACATCCAAGGTGCGCCATTTATATCCCAAATCATGGGACGCCTCAGGACAAAAATCTGGCAGCACAAGTTCCTGAGCCCTAAGCGTAGGACTACCTTGTCATTATGAAAAATACATAAGTCATCTCTAATTGAGAAAGTGCCAATTCCGAGATGCACCTAGCCAATGTGACGGCTACTAGGAAGGCGACCTCGAGCGTCAAGAACTGTAGAGTGGAGGTTCTGATGGGCTCAAATGGAGGTGAAGTGAGAGCCTTGGACAGGTCCCAAGAGTGATATCTGTGAACCACGGGCGGTTTGCTGTTGATTGTTCCCCTGACAAAGGAACGTACCATAGGGTGTTGAGCCAAGGGCTCTGAGTTGCCATATGTGAGCACCGTGGACAGAGCAGCAACTTGTCTGCGGATTGTGTTGGGTGCCAAACCCTTCTTAAGTTCCTCCAGTAAATCATCCCAAAATTCCTGGAACAAGAATTGTAGTTGGATCTAATTGCTGTCTCCCACAGCATTTATAGAAATTCTTCCATGAGGAATCATAGATTCTAGTAGTTGCAGGCCTACTTGAAGCCTGAATCATGGTAATCACATCTGATGAGTAGGTCTCCTTTGATAGGAGTCTCCTTTCAAATGCCAGGCGGTTAGCTGGAGCTGCTGAGGCTCTGGATGTTGTAGAACCCCCTGGCTGAGCGAGATTTGATCTTTGGGTATCCTCTATGGAGCAGAGATCGAGAGACCTACGAAGTCGGCATACCACGGCCATCTTGGCCAGTGAAGAGCAATGAGTATCACCTCTGCCCATTCCTGCAGTATCTTCCGGATAACTGCCTGGATCAGAGGGAGAGGAGGGAATGCATACAGGGGCTTTCTGGGCCATGGGCTGCGTAGGGCATCTACCCTTTTCGCCCCTGGAGACGGGAACCGGGAGAAGAATCTCGGGAGCTGGGCATTCGCCGGGATAGCAAACAAGTCCAGCACTGGATGACCAAAGCTCTCCGATATCTCCCTGAAGAGATCCGGGTGCAGGCGCCAGAGTGGTCCACTGTTGCCCTGCTCAAGAACTCCGCTTGCCGATTCGTCTCTCCCGAAATGTATTCGGCTTGAGGGGTGAGAGGTTGGTCTCCGCCCAGGTTCCCAACAATTGATCCTTGGCCATGAGGGACCTGGAGTGGGTATCCCCTTGCCTGTTGATATGGGCTTTTGCCGCCACGCTGTCCGTGAGGACTAGAACTTGTTGCCTTGCCACTGCACTGCTAAAGTGGTGTAGAGCCAGATGTAGAGTTCTGAGCTCCAACCAGTTTATGTTGTGCTTCAGTTCTGACCGGGACCAACGACCCTGGGCCAACTGGGATTACAGGTACGCTCCCCAGCCAAACAGGCTGGCATCCGATGTTAGGATGAATCGGTTGGGCTCCTTGTATAAGGTCCCCTTGGCCATCTCTGGGGAGACCTCCCACTGGAGGGATTTCAGGATCTGTGACGGGACCCTTACCCTGTGGATGGAGAAACTGGTGCCTAGTCTCTGGAATGGGAGCAAGAACCATTGTAGGGTTCTGGAGTAGAGTCGAGCCCAAGGAACTACTGCTATGCAGGAAATTATCTTTCCTAGCAGTTGAGAAAGAGTTGCTATGGTGACTACTCGCTCCCTTTGAATCTGGGTAACTAGGGATCGGATACTGTCTCGATGTTCCTGAGACAGGTAAATCTCCATGTGTTTGCAACGTAGAGGTGATCCCAGTAGCAAGGAGTCAACTTGTGGCTAGAAGTGGTGGCGGTGGGACCAACTTAATGGGGTAGCCAGCACACTCACAATCCTGGTAGTGGCGGCAAAACCAACTTAATGGGGTAGCCAGCACACTTATGCTCCTGGTAGTGGCGGCAAGATCAACTTAATGGTGTAGCCAGCACAATTCTGATCCTGTTAGTGGTGGCAGGACCAACTTAATGGGGTAGCCAGCACACTTCTGATCCTGTTAGTGGCGGCAAGACCAACTTAATGGGGTAGCCTGCACACTTCTGATCCTGTTAGTGGCGGCAAGACCAACTTAATGTGGTAGCCAGCATACTTATAAGCAGCGAAATTGGTGATAGGAAGAGGTGCTGAAAATGGCAGCAGTTAAAGCGGGCACTCAGCCACGCCCTGAAGTCTTTGGAAATTGCGTCCTGAAAGGAGGCTGTTGTTGTTGCCTCTAATTGTAATAGCCTTGGTATGTGGTGAGCTGCCAAGGAGCCTGGGATTGGAGAAGCAGCATCTTCGAAATATCGCTCCTTAACTCTGGCCTTCTGAATGGCCTGAGAATGTTTGTAAGGCTTTCAATATTTCAAGGGAGAGGCACCCTTGCTGTCACTTGGACCTTCTAAAAGGACAGCCTCCCGCGCCCCGAAAGGGCCTCTTGGCCTGAAATTGCTGTCTGGGTCTGTCCCTGTTACCAGATCTGTGGAATTGACGGTCTGGTCTGGGAGGATAAGGGTGGGAGAAATGAGTGAATTCTGACCCTGTTTCGGTTGAGCGAAAGGACTGCTTGCGGGTGTAGGGCATAACTCTCCTATCTGCCCTTCTCATAAGATGGGATATGACCTTGCATTTATCCTTATTTTCAATCAGATAAGGATTTAGCGCCTCTCCAAATAACTGGCCTCCCCTATAAGGGGCTGTGGCCAACCGCCATTTAGACCTAGCATCCGCTCGCCATCGTCTGAGCCACAAAAGTCTGCGAGAGGTGACGTTAAATGCTAATGCCCGAGAGGAAAATCTGGCCACGTGTAATGATGAGTCCGCCATGTATTCTGATGCAGTCACTAATTTGTTTAAGTCGTGGTGCATCCGTACCTCTTCTGGCGGGACCCTAGCCTGCAACTGGCGAAACCAGAGGAATGAGATTCTGGCGAAAAAGGAAGTGGATGTAGCTGCCTTTACCGCCCATGCTGAGGCTTGATGGGTCCTGTGGAAATTGAGCTCCGCTTTCTTATCCTCTGAATTCAAGGCCTCCACCATATCTCCAGACATTGTGAAGGAAGAAAACAATGGTGCTAAGGGCTCATCTACAGTGGGGACTGCTAGCACCTCTGACAGTACTGGGGCCACATTAAACAACTTTTTATCAGTCCCCCCCGGGGATGGAAAGGTACCAGGTGTACCCCATTGACTTTGGACTGTATTGAGAAAAAGGGGAGGACAGGGAATGTCTTGCTGGGTAAAGGTTGGTTCTGAAAAGACCGTACTGGTAGGACCCTGGCTGGTGGAAGGCTCAGCCTGAGGGACCCCTTCAGAACCAATTTGAGCAGTGCTCCTGGCCTTGTGGAGTAAGGACTTAAAGAGGGCCGGATTAAACAGGCCTACGAAAGGCGGAGGATCAGGGGATAAGTCCTCATCTTCTGACATCCCCTGGTCTGTCTGTTCGTCGTCCCCTGTGAACGACTTTCTGCTCCTGGAGGAATGGGAGCGGGAAACCGACCTCTGGTATGCGGCTGCTTCCACCTGGGAGAGATAAGATGGGATCCCTGATGCTATTGACTCAGGTCGAGATCTCTAGTGTAGGGTCGAGCTATGCCTTGGGCAATAGCCTGAGAAATCAGAACCTGCAGTTGCTCTGATAACACTGTCTCCTGAGTCTCTGAGGAGCGAAGCCCTGCCGCTGTAGGGGTGAATGTGGCCTCTGGGCAGAGGCCTAGCTGTATTCAGAGGAGCAGGGATCTGAAGGCCAAGCCCCTCACTGGAAAGGGGAACCATCTCCACTTGCTCTGCCATGGAGAAATGAATTGACCTGTTTCCCCTTCTGGAGACCAGGCACTTGGAGCAGCAGAGGTTGAAGGAGCGTGTTGAGGGCCAAAAACCGATGCCTCCATGGGAACAGGAGTAAC